TTCGTTCCTTTGATTTAGTGATTTCGGCGAAATTTCAGTAATTTCAGCAGAATATTCTGGAATATATTTAATAGTAATAAATAAATATTATCTTATTATTATTATTATAATTATTTACTGTTTTTAGTAAAATAAATAAATAAATTTGTATGTATATATAAATTCACAGCTTACATTCCAAGATTCAATAAAATAATCTAAATCCTCTATCCACATCTGTTGGGTGTTTCCTCCTAAGATCTCTAAGTTCTTTTTCTTACACGGCTTTATCTTCAAGATTTTTTTGCTCCTAATACGAAAAAGAAATATACTTATAATCAAGATATTCTTGATTGATAGACTAAAACAATATTTTTATATTAGAATACTTACGTTTTACAAAATTTTCATACTGAAAAAACCATCAAATAACCATATCCATGATTATTATGAGAAACATATCGGTTGCATCCTTATCGTCCTTATCATACTCATATTTATCGTTATCTTTGTCCGTAAATCTTTCAAAGCCATTGGAACAATAGCCTTAATACGCGAAAGGCCTTCAAATTTAAGACTACCATCAGCTCTCATTTGATCATTATGAATTTATTCTTGTTCATGGTAACTCCGGCTTCAAGTATTTTTATCGCGTGAGCCTAAAAAGTTTATTGAGAATTATAAATTTAGGATCATACTCCACAAATTAAATTAATATAAGATGATGATGATGATATTAATATAAATACGAACCTTCCACTTCTAATATCCGAGCCTGTATGTTTAAAGTTCCTGAAGAATTTCTTAGGGAGAATTATATTTTCGAATACGACCCTCGCCATCGAAACACACCATGTTCGACGTTCCGATGGTCGTGCGCATCTAAAATCATCTTTCAAGTCCTTCTTTTAAAGGATCTCTTAGAATTATTCGCGTTAGTTTTACGGTGGTGGTTGTATGGTCTTCTTTGTACTCCTAGTATTTATAAAAAATAATTTAATAAAATATTAAAAATTTCTATGTACATAAATGTTTACGTACGAGGATCCAGCTTGGGGACTTTATCTGTTCCGGATATCCACAGCTCAAGCGTTTCTTTGTAATTTTGAGTCCATACACGAATTGATAATTCGGT